CATCGTGAGATGTGAACGAGACTTTATCGCTGGGCACACACTGCGCGCGGCCGAAAAAGGGGCATGACTGTCTGATCCCACTAAACATCAAGTAGAAGCTGCCCTAGGGCCCTTGGCGACAGGGATATCCGATGGCTCATTACCACCAAATACTCGTCTTCTTGGCCAATGCCCGAAGAACCGTAATCAACGCTACCAAACTAGCGTATTCCGTCATAAAAGCTGAACAGATAGGTTCGAGGTTGGAATGTCCGACTAAGGGCCTTGGCAGGACCCATGCCTATACCCGGCCAACGTTGTTTAAGCATTGGTCGATGTCACTGGCGAGATCAGCCCATTAACGCCCGGTCCAATATGTGTCAAACCGCTAACAGTGCCGGCGGCCGATTGGCTTCTCGATAGTCGGCAACCGGTTGACTTGGCAGCCTAGTGTAGGGCACAAATTTCCATCCGGGAACTAAACTTCGTCCGAGATTCCAGGCTATCCGTCCTTTAAGATCCCCTGAAATCGTAGACGGTCTTTCTTCTAGCAAATATTCGTTTTCATATCCCTGTCTTTACTTCTGACCTTCATGCTGGGCATCAGATCTCTGTTACTTGGCGTGTTGTCGGCATGGGTGGTCGCAGGGCATACCCTTCGGGCCGGCAACATCAGCACCGGCTACCGGATCGATGTGCACTCTCATGTTATTCCTCCCGTCTGGAGAGAGGCCCTGATTGCTGCTGGCTACCCGGTGAAAAATGGAACGCTGTATACTGACGATTTCCCGGTGCCCGACTGGACGCTGGAATCACACCTGGCCACGATGGACACCTTGGGCATCAACTTCTCGACCATCAGCGTCAGCGCTCCCGGGGTCTACTTCCTCAAAGACCCTAAGGAGGCACATGCGCTTGCCCGCACTGTCAATCTTGCCATGCACAATTACACCCAGGCTCATCCGACTCGACTGGGGGCGCTTTGTCTGTTGCCCCTTCCGCATGTGGCAGAATCCGTGGCCGAACTGGAGGTAGTCTGATTGCCCAACAGTGGTATAATCCTGGCTAACAGACCCGTTAGTTTTGCCTCGATACGCTCAAGTTCCCCGGTGTGGGCATGTACACCAACGCTAACGGTACCTACCTCGGCAACTCGACTCTCGGTCCTCTCTTTTCGGTCTTGAATGAGCGACAGGCCACCGTGTTCGTCCATCCGGCGGCTCCGGGATGTCAGTCTGTGAGCTTGGGTTACCCGTCCCCTTTGACGGAGTACCCATTCGACAGCGTGCGGGCGATGGAGAATCTGTTGTTGACTGGCCAGCGCGCTAAGAACCCCGATATCAAGATGATATTCGCCCACGGCGGGGGCGCCATGCCGTATCTGGCCAGCCGTATTGCCGGAATGGCGTCCATGTCGCTGCTGGGGTCTCTAAATATGACTAATTCCCTGGCGGAGCTTGCAGGTTATTACTTTGACACGGCTTCTGCCACCTCAGCAATTCAACTTGCTGCCATGAAAAGCTTCATCGGGGTGGACCAGATTTTGACTGGAACCGATTGTGGGTCCTCCTCTTTTCCCTGCAGTTTTGCATTCAATTGATAAGGTGTCTAATAATGCCTCAGACCCGTATGTTCCCCTTTCGCAGAGCGAGGCCGCGCTTCCTGCCATTCAGGGCAACGGCGAATTCACCGATGCGGAGATGGCGCGCATCAACCATCAGAACGCGCTTTCACTGTTTCCGCGGGTTGCCAAGGTGTTGGGCTATTGAAGCTCCTGTAGTCCAGCACAGTACTGTGATTGTCTCCATGTCGCCTAATAGCCTGAGTTCGCAGTCCAATAGATTAATCCGATAGTATATTGTGTCATACCCAGTAGTTATACCGTCTTTTCTGACTAGATTCGGTAATTTTGGGTCAATTCCATACATGACACGGTGCAAGTTCGGTGCAAGAAACCAAAGGCTGTCGGGCGGAGATGTCAGAGATGTCTCCACAGTATATATATCTATCGCCGGACAGTGTCAGGTTGACAATTGTAGCATCAATCCAGGGCCTAAATGTGTCTAATAATACTCAAATAAAGGAATCGCGGTCAATTTCACCCGAATAGCATTCTTAACCCAGAATATGCGTCAAGGAGTAGCAGCGCTGCGAGACCCGGCTAGAAATTGGTCGCGGAAGCCATGTGCGGCCTGAGGCAGTGTGTTGCGAGGCTTAATGACCAAGATGCGGCAACACAGCACAGAAGTCAGGGGTTATTGGGTGTGAACCCGACGTTTCACCAGCCTGTAGTGAGCCCGGGTAGACTGCTAGCCATACCGTGTCTATCTCTTTCTGATAGATACCCCCACCCCCCGGTCGCATCTGCGAGTGATTCCTCGACCGGAAAGCCACAACTGGCGGGGATGGATGGCAGTCACACCGCACGTCCTGAATAAGGCAGACCCCATGGGGCTGCGATCATCCGGGGTAATCGAGAGGAAGACCTCTCCACGTACAGTTGATTCCGGCCCTCAATGCGAAATGGGAACCACCGCGATCCTTGTTCCCATCCAGCTCGGCCACAGGATATCGCAAAAGGAGGGCAGCACGTAAACCGCATCGGTAAGTCCACTGACAGTGAGGCAGCGGTGATGCTCCATATGGTCGTGCATATTCTGCGTTTTTCTTTCCTATCAAATGACTTGCACTGGGATCCCAACTGGCAGTCAATGGCTAGACCTGAAAGAAGGATCCTCGAGATTGTAGTGTGTGTCTTACTCCAGATGTAAGCCCAAGGGCTTGCCTCCGCCATCTCAAATTACACTTGTAAACACAATCTTGCCACTACACGATAGTTGCAGATTCAACCATCAATTATGTGGCGTCTTTGTTGCTGGTCTTACAACAAGGGGACCCTGGATGATTACCTTCCGTCGCTTTCCGCTCGGGTCACGGCTGGGCCTCCCGTAACACAGTAGGTCGGCGAGATGCCACCAACCACGTAGCATACCTTGCTGAAGGTTTTGGTGAGGCCAATTACAAGTGAGTGTCAGCAACAACTTGCAGCTTTAGACGGGTGGATCTCCCCGCTGTGGGTCGGTCAGCACTTATTCCCCCTCACGGAATTAACGGGGATACAAGAGTGATGCCACATCGGATGACACCCGAGGCACATGAAGGAACTTCGTATTCCCAAAGTTAACAAGGGTGTCTACTCTGGTGCTCAGATGCATTGATCTGACTGTGAGTCCAAGTTGATGTTCCATTGATTACACATTGTTTACAGTCAATGGATCGGGGATACGAGTTCGACGGTATACCCGATGACATCAAGCTCAACTTACCAAAAGCGGCATCTGGTGGAGACTCCGCGTCATGATCACCCGTATCCCCATGCCTCCTACAACTTCAGGCCTGGAGGTAATCGGAGTTTAAGTCTATCGCCGCCAATTCTGAAGACATATATTGACCACATCTTCCTCAGACATCACTTAAAGCACAACCGTCGTTACACGCTGATCATCTATCATCATGTCTCTCTTCGCCCCCGCCCCCAAGCCCGCCAGCCGTCTCGGCTACCACCGTGTATTGGCACCCTCGGCTGGTGTCAAGGTCTCACCATTGTGTCTAGGAGCTATGAACTTTGGAGACTCATGGTTTGACAACTGTATTATCTTGGTGTGACTGGTCAACTAACCAGGCTTTTGCCGGTTTCCAGGAAGGAATTCATGGGAGAATGCAACAAGGAGCAGTCCTTTGCCCTGCTAGATGAATTTTACAGACTCGGAGGCAACTTCATCGATACGTATGTCACTACTACAAATTAGATCGCTGTAAGATGCTGATTATTTCCACTAAAGGGCCAACAACTATCAGTTCGAAGAATCCGAGAAATGGATCGGAGAGTGGATGGCTGCTCGCGGGAACCGCGACCAGATGGTGTATGTAGCAGTATCTTTTTATACCTTACTTTGAACAAGGAACTGATATTGTTAGCATCGCAACCAAATATACAACAGGTTTCCGAACCGCCCACCGCGACACCGAGCCTCTCCAATCCAACTTCGTCGGTAACTCCATGAAGAGCATGCGGGTCTCCGTCGAGCACAGTCTCAAGAAGCTCCAGACTGACTACATTGACCTCCTGTACCTGCACTGGTGGGACTTTACATCCTCCGTGGAAGAGGTCATGCACGGACTTAACAATCTGGTCGCATCGGGCAAGGTTCTCTACCTCGGTGTCTCCGACACCCCGGCGTGGGTTGTTGTCAAGGCCAACGACTACGCTCGGGCCCACGGCCTCCGTCCTTTCTCCGTGTACCAAGGAAGATGGAACGCCGGGTTCAGAGACCTCGAGAGAGAGGTGATCCCCATGTGCAGAGACCAAGGGATGGCGATTGCTCCCTGGGCACCGCTCGGAGCGGGCAAATTCAAGTCTGCCGAGGCGCGTAAGAGCGACGCCGGAACTGGTAGCGCACGTGGCGCTGAATTGAGCGAGATTGATATCAAGGTCTCGGATGCGTTGGAGAAGATTGCGAAAAGGAAGAACACCACTTTGCACGCTATTGTGAGATACCAATTCCATCAATGTCATGCTACGGAAGCAAACTAATGAGAATGATAAACAGGCCCTCGCTTACGTCATGCACAAGACACCTAACGTCTTCCCCATCATCGGTCAACGCAAGATTGAGCATCTCCAAGCCAACGTGGAGGCTTTGAGCGTGAGCCTCTCCGATGAGGACCTCGATGAGATTGATAGTGCATCTTCGTTCGATGTCGGATTCCCGATGAACTTCATTTTCCGTGACTCTTACTCTTCGCGCAACACGGCTGCCGATGTCTGGTTGACCAAGGCTTCGGCCCTTATTGATGCGCCTCCCCATGCGTCGCCTGTGCCGCCTCGTCAGGAATAGATTACTGTCTAATAGTTACCGAGAATCGATATTGAAGTCAATCCGACATGACTAATAATTCACCCAAAACCATGCTAGTACCTGATTGGCCGGAATTAAGTCGCCGCTGCTCTTGCCTCTATCATCATCCGTAGTACAATCTGTTTATGTTCTCCGCGCATAGTCGTTTTCATCCGTTTTAGCTTTCCTTTAGTCCGCGGCTTTTGTCTCTCCGACATCGACCACTGCTCCTTCCTGATATTAGCATGCCTTCACGCTGGTTTGCCCAAGGCGAGGTCGCCCCTGGTACTACCATCCAGCTTAGAAAAGCCAAGTGGGTGATCCACGAGATAGCTAGTGAGCACTGCTTCCAGCTTAACGAGGACGATCTGCGAGACAGACATGACCCCTCCTTCGCCTGTACTCGTCTCATCTGCGAAGCACGTGGACCGAATGGGCCTGTTCAGGGTCATATGCGTTATTATAAGCAGATTCCCATTGAAGGAACGGAAGCCGAGCCTCCTATCATACGAGCCAAGCAAGCAGAATCCTTTAGTCCACCGGAACTAGTGTACCTACGCACCTTGACCCAGAAGGGATTAACCATCACCCCCCGTCTGCTGGACAGCAAAGAAGACAAGCAGGATAATGCTGGCTTTGTTCCCGGTGGATTCGTCATTTGGGTTGTGTGGGCAGTGGTACCAGGACTCCAACTGGGTAATGATATCGGCTCTGCACCATTCTGGGGGTTGAGTCGGAAAGAACGGGATGCAGTGCGTCAAGCATTCAAAGACACTATCAAGTTTGCCATCCTATTGTTTTTCCTTTTCGCTCGTTTCTAATGACGCACTGTAACAGTAAGCTTGACAACTGGGGACACTAACCTTACCCCGAACAAGCTAAGAACCTTGTTTGGGACTACCACGGGAAGTTTGTGAGTCCAGCAGTCCCGCACTTTGTTTCTCTTACTAAGTCTGTATTTTTACGTAGGTATTATGTTGGATTTCTCCTCACCTGCAAGGCTAATCCACGAGCTTTCTGGTCTCCCGCCAGATGGGCAGGTTGGGGTCTGGCAAGGCCGCCAAAGGAATGCCGGGATTGGGATACTATCACAGAGGGCTGGGAGCTCTAGAGTATCTTATCAGTTGCTGGGCCATTGCCAGGTTGGGAACTGGATGCCCCCGGGGAGGGCAATATTCCGGTTTGAATCATCGTATTTTGGCGGTCCACCTACAAACAGGGGATCAATATGTCCTAGGATGGTGAAGATATATTGCAGGTAGATGTCAAAGAAAGAACCTGATTTACATCGAATTGCACTAGGTCCTGTCTTTCCTTGGAGTCGCTAGAACAAAAGGCCTCGCGGTACAGCTGGTCCACTCTTTTCCTTCTAACTTCTGAAAGCGCATTCAAGAGGCACCGGAAGGGTGCGTAGAAGGGCGACTTTGCAGCGCTGTGAGTATTCAGAGGCGAGACTGAGAGAATCGGCGCAGTGATTTCCTCGTATTTTCGGTTCGGAGGGGCGCTGGCTAGCCCGCTCATTATCGCCATGCCACCTAGCTCCTAGAGCATGCATGATGGCTCTCTTAATGAGGCAATCAAAGCACCAGTATGGACACATGGAGAGGTGAGGACGTCCCGGTACGCTCCGGTGAACATCCGGTGGAGCATGTCCTCGCACAACCCTACAAGAATTCTGAACATCGGGTTATAGCATGTAGACAATATTTGGACTTATCTGGAGTAGGGTCTACTCATGAATAAATAAAGGAAGTACAAGCCACCAACAACGCTGTCTGTGAAGTCTACTAGAAATATATATCCACGATGATGCAGCGCAACGAAAGCATACATTCATGAGTAGCTATAGGTAATAAATATAACCACTATCAAAGGACTTTTACCCCATCCCACACTTACCTACAGAACCTTAAGTCGCGAAATTAATGTTTGCGTTGTGGAATCGGAGAATTTACCCGAGTGTTGTGGTTCTTAATTCTCCTCGAAATTCAGGATTCAAAGTAATGTTTCTTCTTCATCACTATCGTTATGTGAGCGACTAATCGTCTATTATGTTCTACATTGATTTAGTCATTTCTCTTTTTTGAGGCTTGATTCTTAATCAAGGGTTGCGGCAAGCAGGCATTGGGGGACTGTTCGCAGAGAACAGTGTGCTTGAGTGGCAGAATAATTGGACGGGCAAGCGGTCAGACAGTTGGAAAAAGGGGCAACACGGGTCTCGTGTCCACAGCTCACTCACTTCCTTTTCCTCCTTCCACTTACACCACTAGGGATATCACAGCTATCATACATACACATGCCAGGTCGACGACCGAATTGCTTCCTGGTCAGAGGAGATGAACGATCTCTCAGATCATCTCGGGCAGGTGACCGACACGTGAGAAGTTACACCTCTTCCACAACACGCCAAGTCCTGAGTTGACTTAAATTTGCGACATGAATTTGGATGAAGATATGACCTGTCGACAATCACAGGTGATTAAGGTTGCTTCCGCCACCGAAATTTCCTGAGTAGGAAGGCAGCTAGGCAATAAGGTTGGGAAACAATGAGACCGTGGGTACCAACGTGCATGCTCAAAATATAGAATGAAGATGTATCCGATTATGCGCGCTTTGAATTCTCAGCCTCGGCTCATGTTACTATGATCTGTCTGCGCAATCAGAGGCTTTCAGCTTGAGCTGTCTCAGTCCATCACACCAGGGCCTGCAACGTCGGGAAGATGCCTTTTCCTGACCGAATTAGAGTCTGCCCCATTATTTGTGGCAATATGTGCCGTGTATCTGGGGAGAACGTTGTCCTCCTGTGGAAGGAAGTGTGGGTTGCTGCAAGTTCATGACCCAGGTTTGTTTATTGACTGGTGATGATAGCAATTTTAAGCTTATCGACATCACTGAAGCACCAGTCAAGTGGATCTACCCCATGGAAGACATTGACTTCTGCTGAAGAAGATTTTATTTCCTTAAAGAGACGCGTCGCCCTCCAATAGTCACCTATAGCAAAGCACCACTGTAAATGAGCAAAGACCGAGAGATATTTCCACTCGACCAGTCTATTTCTTGTCGATAAATGGATGGGTTAATATAAGGGATAGATTAACTGCCGGGTAAATAACGGCAAAGTTGATTCCGGAGAATTTTGAGTTTGGGTTATCAACTTGAAACAACCGTTTGCGCCGGGGCTCTGGGAAGAGGGAGACCCGCCTGGTCCTGTCCACTTATCTCTCATTCTATCCATGTTGTAAGCAGGACTAGCTCAATTCTACTAGGTTTCATTCCCAGGAGCCAATTTGTGTCACAATCATGAGCTGGCCAGGTTCACCAATTGGATCCTCTATTTGCAAGCCAAAAATGACCACGATTTGGTGTTCAGTGGATAAGTCGAAGCTCTAGATGCTTAACCCCTGAGCGGTGTAACTTAGCTTCCGTTGATCGCTTCAGCTGGCGGCCGGTAAACACCCACTGAAGGATTCGTGTCTCACACGTTACTTCTGCCGAGCGTTTCAAAGGTGCGCGAATAGCTCTGCCAATTAAAGCTTCATCCTTGCCTTTTTATCTACAGTAACTGGGAGATGAACGAGAGATCCCGAGGCTGTGGGACAATCAATACAGGCGACTCTGAATCAGCGTCAAGATACAAAGACATAGCTATCGGACTACAGTTGGATAGATGCATAAGCCTGTCAGAGTCAGATCGATCCGCAGCATGGATGGGTCCCGCTGGGATCTGCTCCGCTTGGCTCACCCCCTGTCATTCTTCCAAAATTATGGGTCTGCCTGCTCCTTGCAGGTCGATCAACTTTTTTTTCCGTTGACGATCATGTTCGACCTTTTGTTTGCGCAAGCACTACTAGTCTGCCCACTTAGGAGACTTCACATTAATTGGCTTAGTTGAGGGGCCGCACGGATGACGATGTAGATAAAAGCGCGCTGGAGCTCACCTTCCAGATTTTTGCACGGCAGCCGGCATGCGATCAATGGGTTTCAATCACCAAGTCACTCCCTATCAACATGGGCTCCTCGATGCCTCTTGTCGGTCATAGTCTGGCCATCTTTATCTGCGCGGCGGTAATGATGAGTGTTAGTATTATGGCGGTCGCGTTGCGCACCTTTGTTCGTATTTATACGGTTCGAGCTTTTGGGTGGGACGACGCTCTAATGGTCATAGCATTGGTGGGATTCCTGATCTTCTTACAAACACGACAGCGGCTGATATTTCATTAGGCTCTGTTCATAGCCCTGGATGCATGTTGGATGGTTGCATCGAAGCGAGGTGTTGGCCATAAGAACGAGGACTTTACTGATTATAATACAATGGAGCAGGCACTTCTGGTAGGTCTTTTATCTTTTCTACTAATACGCGAGTGAGGCCATAACCATTACGATATAACTAACTATTGTTAGTGGTGGTGGTTATGTCAAATGCTCTATAGTTGGTCAGCCGCTATCACAAAAATATCAATCGCTATTGCCCTACTCAGACTAGCAGTGCACAAAGCTCACCGCATTGCTTTGTGGACGGTGACTGGCGTTGTAATAGTCGCTGGGATAATGATCTGGCTTGTGTTCCTAGCCGGCTGCCAACCAGTCTCTTATTTCTGGTCGCATGTCAATGGAAATCATGAAGGAACATGCATACGTCGGCAGATACTGTTGGATGTTGGCTATCTCTATAGTTTCCTGATTGTGCTGTCCGATGTTACTCTGGGGATCATGCCTGCCGTTCTGATCTGGCACCTGCAAATGGACCGCCGGACAAAGATTGCATTAGCCGGGGTCCTCAGCCTAGGAGCCCTGTATGTGCACTATATCTTTGACAACTTAAAAAGGAAAGATGCTGAACCTGTTCTAGAGAAAGTGTCGCCGTGATCATCCGAATCCCATATCTCCATACCTACCATGACACCAACCTTCTCTGTGAGTCTACACAAAACTACCATCCGTCACCACATCCCTAACTCCTGCAGACGCAACCTACCAAATCGACTTTTGGTCCATCATCGAGATCGGAATCGGCATTACTGCAGGAAGCCTCGCCACCCTCCGCCCTTTATTCCTTTGGGTCTTCGAAACTCGATCATACTATGGTGGTAACTCGCGTGGTAAAAAGCAAGGCGAAGAGGAGCATCCTCTGTCGAACTTCTCCACAGATGCTGAAAGGTTACATAACCCAGGCAATTGGGGTGGGGAATTTGCTCCAGGAAAGTCGAACAGTCGTCTAGTAACCACCGTCACATCTCGTCTGAGCCAGTCAGATAGGAATCAGGATGCTATGACCTTGGGTGCTGGATCATGGCAGGCACTTTATCAGGTCAATATTCAGACAACAATCAAGATATCGGAGGGAGTGGATGAAGCAATATAATTGTGCTCCCAGACTCCTGTATATACTTTCATTTGTACTTATATTATACTGACATAACAGCTAATTAACAGAGAAAAGACAATTATTATGATCATATCTTTCACGATAAGACGTGAAAAAAATCATGAGTTATGCGGTTGTCACAGTCAGAATGTCGGGTTAAGGCTTACTACTCTCCGGAGGGCATGGCGAACCGAGGACGGAACGGTGGATGGCAGTTCGAGCCGTTCCGCATGCCAAGTTCATCCGACAAATCATAAGCTCAGAGACGAAGTATACTGAAAGCACCAGCTTGTCTATAAAGCCCGTGTAGGGCCTCTGATGGAGTCGTAATCCTAGAACAACATATTCATCCTAACAGCTTCTACCAACCAATTCTCAAAGCGACAATCACATCAACATGTCTACCCCCTTCGATCTTCGCAACCCCGGACGCCCGATCCATGTCGGCGTAGTCTTGTTGAATACGTGAGTCTCACGATAAAGAAAAAAGAGCAACAACAAGCGTCCATCTAAGTAACGACGATACAGCGTAACCGAACATCTCGACATCGCCCCTGTCGGCTTCTTCCACAACTTCAGCACCTCCTTTATCAAAAATCTCCCACCCTTCGCAATCTCCGACAACCTCAGATCCCAAGCCCTAGACTTCGTCACCCACTGGGTCACAGAAGACGGCACAACCCCAGGCTCCCTAAGCGGAAACCTCAAAGTCGTCCCCACGGTACTCAACTTCTCAATCCACACTCCACACCACAAGCACATCACTAACTCCCACAGGACTCATTCACCACCTGCCCACCCCTCGACATCGTCCTCATCGGCGCCGGTGAAATGGGCTACCAACCCACCACCGCCGAGAAAGACTTCCTTCGGAAGTGCTATGCAGAATGCTCTGCGTTCTTGTCTGTTTGCGGTGCGTCGGACGCCCTCCTAGCCACCGGGATCTTGGAAGGAAAGACGGCGACAGGTCCACTTTCGTTCTTGCCCTTGTTTCGTGAGATAGCGCCGAGCACAAACTGGGTGGAGAAGAGATGGGTGAGGGATGGGAAGATGTGGACTACGGGGACGTTGTTGAATGGGCTGGATATGATTGCTGCGTTTGGGAGGGAGGTTTGGGGAGGGGAGGGGTCTTTGGTGGAGCATGTGCTTAGAACGGGGTATTTCCCGAGTAGGGATGTGGATTATAAGGATGAGATCTGATGTTGGGGATTTGTGGTTCTTAACTTTTGAGGCGTTGGTCGCAGTGATGTTTGGGGAGGAGTGTCAGGTTAATAATGATACCATATACTTTTCCAGCCCACGTGGCATAGTGCTTTTCCAACATACAGTATCGGGAGGAGATTAAAGTGATGGAAAGGGAGATAGATGAGCCTGTGTAAGTAGCTTGTGGTAGTTACGGGGTAGCCATTTCCTTTCGAAGACTGCCAAGTATAAAAGTAATACTAGAGTAGACTCTTGTTCGATGCCAGGTCATGAATGTACGTATAGCGAGCACATGGTATTGGCGCTAATCCCAATCGGGATGTCCGGCTACACTTGCCATCCGCCCGTCAGCTCGGCTCAGCTTTCCCTCCGCACTTCCATATACTCCTTCGCCCTATCTGACCGTCATCATCATCGATCGTTCTCTAATCCATTCATGACTTGAATTTGGGGGTAACAGCAATGCCGGACGATTATAAGTATATGTGTCCACGTCCGCGGAGCTCCAAAGCCTGCGACGCATGTAGAACGCGCAAGATCCGGTGTATAACCAACGAGAAAGGCGGCGGGAAAGACGCCTGTCGAAGGTACGTGCCAATTGCCAAGTAGTGTACGTTTAAGATTACCATATTAACTTCTGTAGATGCGCAAAATTTGGATACGCATGTACAGTTACGGGGAGCCTCCAATCAATGACGTGAGTAGCCTGTTGCCATACAATCCAAGGCATTTGCTAATCGCGAACAGAAGTGAAAAGAGCCAGAATAAACAAGTGGTGAAGGCTTTAACTGATCAAGGTGATGATGTTGTCTCGGGCCTATGTCGAAATCAGCCAAAAGCAGAAGAAGACGTGGTGATGCAGCTGCGCCAACTGCATCGCGGTGTAATGCAAGGCCGGAGTCTAGGCGAAGGGGAACCTCGTACCCCAATAGATACCAGTTCCAGCGTCGGTGATGCTGTGGACTATCATTCAAGGTCCAGCAAGATCAGCCTGAATATGGATGAGGCCGAACAGCTACTATTGCAGTTCAGACAGCAAAGGGCATACTTCCCGTTCACCGAAGTGCCTGAGGGGACCACAGCGACGACAATGGCATCATCCCAACCCTTCTTATTACTCGCTATTCTGACCGTATCATTGACGCGGAAGCCGCTCCTGCAAAAGAGGCTAGATGAAAGATTCCGCCGTGTGCTAAGTGAGAGAGTTATATTTCATGGGGAAAAGAGCATGGATTATGTTCAAGGTCTACTGGTTTATATAGCATGGTATGCTAGATGGTCCTGTTTGGTAAATGATATTGACTATGCTCTAGGCGTCCATTACATATCCGACCGCTCAGTCGCCAGGGCTCGCAGTTTATGCAGATACTTGGGACTATGATATCTGATATGAAGCTTACGGAAAATGTGCATGATCAGGCTGCTCGAGACATCTGCCTTGGGTGTTTCACTCTTTCGTCTCTGTGAGTCTATATCAGATAGTTTGGGATAAGTGTCTAATTTGAGGCATAGGTTATCCGTTGGCTTTCGCCGGCGTGGTGATGACGTCGCATATAAGTATCTCAAAGAAGCAGTGGATGCCAAGCAGCGATTAAACCAACCGTATGATGAAAAGTTTCAGCTATCGAAACTTCACGTCCTATTTGAGGAGATAATGCGCTGCCAGATAGAATGTAGCTCTCTGAAATGCCCACTCACCAAACAACAGAGAGTCGAAGAGAAAATGGAATCTCTCCGTCTAGAAATACAGATATTTGAACGAGTACATGGTCTCAGCACCAGTGAGTAAATCCACAAGCCCGAGAGGCAAGGCACTGACATACACACTGTCCCTGTACGTCTTCTACTATCATCACTCAAAGTGCATATCGCACTTCTACCTTTCCGAATTCTGGATGCTAGACCGAGCACCGTACCCAACCTCGAACGCTTAGTCAACCAAGGCACCTCCTGCGCAAGTGAAATTCGGTCTTTCTTCGAATACTTCCTTTCCATTCCACAGAGTCAATACATATTATTCTCGTATCGAGATTGGTGCCAATTAATTCTCACCATAAGCGCAGCTTCCGATATCTGTTTCCTGTCTTCGGCTTCTATGAGCCCTATATGGACCGACTTCCAAACCAAGACACGATCAGGCATGTTAATCTATCTCGAGAGCCTTTCTCATCGAATGACGAGACTTTCAGTGACGAAGGACGGAGAGACCCCTGATATATTTTTTATGTTCAAGTCGGTGTTGGAAATAGTGTTGTCCACATATGCTCCAACCAGCGGGGAGTCTTCATCCCTAACGTCAACAAGCATTAAGGGAAACCCTTCTGTGAGAGCGGAGACCGGCCGGAATGTGGCTGCTACTTCGTCCACACCTTCTACCCGCTGCCCCATGGTGAACGGGAGTATCCGAGAGTCAGAATTCTGGGAGGCCATGAAACAAAGTGATGTATACCTAGAAGGGTTGGCGAATGGGGTGAACGGTGAGGATGTTTTTACATCGGGAGTAGATAGTTTGCTCGCTGATTGTGGGGACTGGCCGAGCATCTTTTCAGAATGGGTCAATGTGTCATTAAATTGAATGAGAGACATTCCTTAATGGGCGGGGAATTTACCCCAAAAATCATGGACTCGGTTTACTGGTAGGAGGTGCTGTAGATTGTGTTTGGGGGCATAGTCTGGCATTGTGATTCCATAATTCATTCCGAGCAAAAGTCTAAGATAAGCACACACTAATATCGAGTTTTCGCGAGGGCTTTACGCTGTAAGCATCGTTTGAGTTGCAGACACATTATATGAAGATGGTTGCGTAAGCTGCTCCTAGGGCTCTAATAAAGAGTATTGCGGCTTATAAGTCACAACCCACAAGGAGGCATGATGGCTGACAAGCCCCCTTAGTCTCGCGACATCGGATACAGTCCACTGATGGGGTGATTTACCGAATTCTTCTCGCGACAGCGCGTTTGCATGGTCGCTTTCATCTGGGTGTGACCGGAAAGCAGTCTGAGGGAAGACACGCGATCAATCGAGCTAGAAATTTGGGAAAGCTCGCGAGGAATGCTTAGAATCGGAGAACGCTGAAGGTGTGGGGGTTCAGGGCCCAGGTACGAATGTTATCGACCGCCGTCGGCGATACTAAAAGTATGACACTCACAATTCGGATTTCTCGTTGTTATAAATTCCAAAGGCCGAGATAAGGACTTGCGTTAGTATAATTGCTGTGGAGTAGCTTACAATCCAATCAAGTACCTCGTCAACATGCACCAACGGACTACGAGGCGGATAGACCCAGCTCCTTGCATATTTCTCCGCGTACTTTTCATAATTCCCAATGGGCTTCGCTATTAGGCGGAAATATATCTCGAGGGATAAGTCGAACTAGAAGGTGATCCAAGGTCAGCTGTCTGCAAATGAGAGGGACATATGGCTTGGTGTAACTGGATACCCCTGGATAGTACGCGGAAGGCCAACCCGGTGAGAGAGCTCAGGGTAGGCTGAAAAAGTAGACGTCGAGCAAGGAGAATGTTGGATCCCAAGTACGATGCCAGGAAGACGTTCCTGTGGGTAAATGAAGGAGATTCGCATGGAGGTGGCAAACCAATTAGCTGTGACTAGCGGAGAGAGATATGGAGACAAAGAATTGATGCTGGGGGCGAAGTGTTGGGATTCAGCCTTATATTAAGTTGTATTATTATTAAGCTGTAGATCCTGGTGGACTTAACTCGCAAATTCGACGGACTTGTCTCTCTGATAGCTTCTGGAAGGAAATTAAGTAGGGACTCATATTGGACTTTTAACAGAAAACCTTGCATCCTTTTCAACCCCTCGGCCAGAAGCGCTGTTCAACATGAACTGATAAGTGTGGTGGTGGAGCCAATTTTCTGACAGGTCAGCTGTTGGTTGAGTTGAGACTTGGTGAACCTGTTTCAGTTTTCACCAGCCCCTGGATAACTTCGTTTCATCGTAGGATTTTTGGCCCCATACACCCATGCTACGGATCGTTTTCATTGGTGTGTGCCCGGATGGTGGTTAATTGATGCAAGTATCCGCGTGGGTGCAGGGCTATCGCAGCATCAACATTGGTGTTTGTGTCTCAGCGCCCCCACCAGCACCGAGTCAGCGCTAAGCATAACCGCAACCCATTGGTGTGAACAGCCTTGCGCCGTTGCACCTTCGGATCCATTCAGAATCTAAGCTAACGGCGTTCATTGGCGAACCGTAAATGAGATCATTCCGATTAAATTGCACTGACCACATCGTCCTGATAAGCTTCTGTTCTTTGTTTCCGATCCTTTGTCTACTTTTTGGCCGACAAATGAACTATTTTCCCCTAGCCATGGTTTCAATCTTAAGCAACAAACTTGGGGTCCAAAATGCCCATTACACACTCACGCCATACTAATTTCCCACGAGGCTTTCTCGCATGCGACGAAATGACTCATGACTGGATAGAATGTTCCTGATTGCCCTCACATCGACCCACGCGATGGATGTACACTCGGAAATGGACCTAGCAAACGCCCCGCCCTATGGCAACCAGCCTGTGACATGCCACAACCATCCTGACGGCTTGCATTAGTCTATCCCCATATTGCAGATGGGATAGAGAAAATCCTCCTATTGGTTACAACCCTGCATCGCCAGGTTCGGAATATTGATTGGCTCGCATACGGGAGCCGTTTATAAAGACTCGAATGCCTCCGAACCAGTCCCAGCATCACGCCCACTTTCCTTCACCACCCACTCGGGCTCTTTGCCCACAGTCACTCCTTTATCGAACTACCACAGTTCATACTCAGTTCTTCAATTCTATTTTACTCGTGCAGATAGGCTAGACGCCCTCACGATGACAAAATCATTGTTCATCGCCCTTTTCGGGCTTCTATGGGCTAAGCAGGCGCTGGGCGCCGCCGTGTTCGCCCACTTCATCGTCGGCAACGCATGGAACTACACACTCGCAGACTGGGTAGATGACATGACACTGGCCCAGGAGGCCCATATCGACGCATTTGCCCTGAACATGGGCTACGGTGACTCGTCCACCGCAACGCAGGCTGCTCTCGCGTTCGAAGCAGCCAACAAAGTCGACTTTAAGCTTTTCTTCTCCTTCGACTACGAAGGAGGCACCGGTGCCTGGCCAGAATCTGACATCCTCACTTACCTTAACAAATACGCCTCCAATTCCGCCCACTACAAGTACAACGGCAAGGCGTTCGTCTCTACTTTCGAGGGTACCGCCTACGCGACGGACTGGAAGTCCATCAAATCTCAGGTAGACTGCTTCTTCGTCCCGGACTGGTCTTCTCTCGGCGCAGAGGGCGCCTATGAGGCTGGCGGTGGAGGTATCGTCGATGGCCTTTTTAGCTGGGGTGCCTGGCCTTCCGGTCCGAACAACATGAGCAATGCTACGGATCTCACGTACCTCGACCTCGACATCCCCTACATGATGCCAGCCTCTCCGTGGTTCTACACCAACCTCGCCTCGTACAGCAAGAACTGGCTATGGCGCGGTGATAGCTTGTGGCACGATCGGTGGGAGCAGATCTGGGATCTGCAGCCGGAGTGGGTGGAGATCCTTACCTGGAACGACTACGGCGAAAGCCACTACATCGGTCCCATCCGCGAAGATGCAATTAGTCTCATGACGACAGGTGGTGCACCGCTGAACTACATCGAGAATATGCCCCATGATGGATGGAGAGACCTTCTGCCTTTTGCGATCGACACTTACGTGAAAGGAAACGCCACTCTTGGCGACGAAGGCATCGTCACCTGGTACCGACCGAACCCGTCGGAGTCCTGCGGCACAGGGGGTACTACTGGTAATACAGCCAGTGAGGGACAGACGCTATACCCGCCCGCTGAAGTTGCTGAGAATAAGATCTTCTACTCAGCGATGCTTCATTCGCATGCAAATGTCACTGTCACTGTTGGTGGCACGTCGTTGGGCGCTACTTGGGCCAAACACGGCCGGAACAGCGGCGCAGGACTCTACCACGGTGCTGTGGAGTATGGTAGTGCGACTGGGAAGGTGGTGGTTAGTATCACCCGGGATGGGGAGACGCTGGCCAGTGTGGCTGGTCAGTCGATTAACGCGACGTGTGTGAGTGACTTGTCCAACTGGAATGCTTGGGTTGGATCTAGCGTTGCTAAGAATACGAATTCCCGTCGTGATGCTACACTCCCAGTGAAGAGTAGACATGCGCACCGTCATGTCGGGAGAGGACATAACCGCTTTCATTGATGCAGGCATAGTGGGAGTTTAGATTTCAATTCAATTCGGTACAATGTATATTTCCTTTAAGGTTTATCGTACGGAGAACATCAAACACGTGGTGATTCATGAGATATTGTAAGGTTTACAACACAAATTATATAACAAGTAAGATACATAGCGTCACTTTGACGCCTATCTCAAGGATTAAAAGTATCAAGGAGATAGATAAAGGCACAATGATAGGGCGCACTTTCCTCTCGCCTTAAAGAGGTATGTTAGGTATGCGGTATTAGCTAGCGACTTTACAGCCAGAGTCAGTATATTGGACATCTGCTTCTCATCCTACTTCCATTGTATCGGATAGTTTTCATCTGCGTCGCAAAAGGGTATAAGAAAAGTCCACAATTGCAGAGCGCAGTCAGTGATCGAAGGCTAATTAGTGCCCACAGGAGAACTCTTTGGTATTATGTTTCAGATTGCGACTATGGGCTCAGCAGGTACCCCAGCTGACCGTTACATTACACCTTTTTTCCAGGAGGCGGCATGATGGATCCAGCTGCGGTGGGTTTGGAAAGAGTAATGCACCTCTACGCAAGTAGGGTCGCAGAATGTGAAATGCTAGAGATGACCGGAGATGAAGGAGATGTCTTTGCCGTCTTATCCAAGTCGGCAATAGGCTGCTCCGTGTTAAAGAGCGCCAGTCCTCCAGTCTTCCTTTTCAACTACGAAGTCGTACCTAGCCCTTGGCGGTAGCTCTTCGGTCGTCATAATCATTGAATCATAACGCCGCGCAGCATATTCCTACCAAAAACGACCCGGGAGTATAACTGAGCGGCAAATGTTAGATAGATACAAACATCGCATATACTTACGGCATTACGGAACGATGATAACAAGACTAGCATTTTGAGAACAATGACTCACATCGAACAGTATTATTGACATAAGTTTTTGCTGATCCGCTTTTCCATCGACGCCATCATGGCCACTTGCTGTGGCGCTGCCGGTGTACTTGATTCAAGGAACCTGGCACATTCTCCCTTCTCCCTTCCCCTTTCTACTCCTCACCTCCACCTTCTAACTTCCCCCTACTCACTTCTCCCTATCGCCTCGAAGTCTTCCTACGTATAATCCTAAAGCCTCCTACGATTTATTGCGCACCAAAACACTACAGGAAGAAATACCGAGATCGGAACCCCCCAAAGTATACTCTTACGATCCTTACCCATTGGCGCCTACAGTGGATGACCCCAGGAAATTTCTGCTCTGCATTGTCTTGTTGGCAGTGGGTTTCTTCGCATTTTCTACCCTTCTGGCCGGTGGCTATATTATGTACTAATTCCGTTCCTATCATAACGTGCGACAACACGGTGTCTAAGACTAACTTCGTTCGTCTACCTAGTCCACTATCTCCCGAGTCTGTCTACATTACGTACACTAATGACGATATGAGTGGACTGCTGCAAGGCATCGAAGGGGCCCTTCAACAAGGATATCGTGTCCAAGTCATCTTCGACAGGGTATAGAGGGATCCTAGGGTAGAGGATCTTGGACAAGAAAGAAAAGAAAAGCTCATTACTGATGACAATACTTGTCTCTAGAGGGCTTTTTTATGGGTGCTTGGTGAGTTTTTTGTCCTACTTGGGTCTGTCCAAATATGCTTAAGTCGTTATCTTGAAAGATTTTTTCGCTTTAGGAGGTGCCAGCCGTTAATTCGCTATTACCTCGTTGTGCGGGTCAGTCTACAGTAAATAGTATTCCCATACCTGATCGAGCCCTACTATGTAATATCCTAGCCTCAAAGTGCCCCGACTTTGAAGCGAGAGGATGGCTTAGCCCCGGTAAATTCCCCAAATTCGGAAAATTACCTCTAAGAGCGCATGCTGCCACCGCAGCTAACCACGCCACTCAAATAGAATATAGAAAAAGAAACGAATAAAACATGTCGCAATTGGACAGCTAATTGCCAGCGACACCTTCTCCTCTGTCTCCGTTCCAATCTACCATTTCCTGCTCCCTATGTGGTTTTTCTTTCTCCTTAGGACGTGCTGCCTCGCCCACTTCAGTGGAGCGTGTTTGGGTCGTCTACCCTGAGGTGTTCGTCCTCTGCCTTGACAAGGTATGACCAACTCACTTGTCAACCAGGTCGAACTTGTTAGTTTATCAGCCGTCGAAGTATCCACTTGTTCGTGGGTTGTCTTTCTTCCTGGTCATCCCATGGGATCTTCTTTCATCAATAGAAAGAAGGGCTGGGACGATGTAGAGTGGGATGTCGGATTCGGAGGATGAAGTATCATGGTGGATAGTCCTCTAGCCTTGGATAGAGCACGTGCTTGGACAGAGGAAGAAGCGGCCCGATCAGAAATAGCTGCCACCCTCAGGCATAGTTGGGTTATGAGTTCTCAATTTGAATCGGTAGCTTGCGGGACCTTGTCCAAAATCACACCAAGCCTAAAAGTAGTTCCGTCGGCTATATTTCAGGAAACATGTCTGTACTGGTCATCATATTACACTCCCATCTACTAATTTCACTGTCACGGAGCATCTATCTGTTATCGTAGACAATCCTTAGCTGCTGGTTGTAACTTGCCGCCATAAGATCTAAGAACATCGATTGGAAAGATGGACAAACTTCGTACTCTCGTAATTGGCACGTAGCACTGCTGGCCTGATAGTATTGGGGAAGTTGTGCCATATATTGAGGATGCGTGATGATTCATTGACAAAGAAACAACTCCAACAACGAGCTCAAAGACTGTGAAGCATATTCGACTTCCCGGACAGATGCCTTATTCAAGAAAACACTGGAAATACAAAAGTATTGAAAGGGAAGATCAAGTTAGCAATAAAACTATTGCAAAATCCTGTGTGTGAAGGTATGAAATTCGTAGCAACAGTGAACGCCCCGTCAGTCCAAGAAAGCTAACGAGTGGTTGAAAGTCCACAAGATGAAATTTGATTGCACGACCATGATACTGAGTAACAGTACTCTAAGTAGTCTACCGACATTGCCGGTTTGGCAAATAACGCATTTCAGACTGCGCCTGGTGATTATATGAGTACAATCAATACCGTTAGCCATAAGTCCCCTGTTGCAATAGGAATGGGAGTATACTTCAGTTTGAATCTGAATAGTTTAAAAGCCGCGAACAGGGCTGCAAAGAAGAGGACGTATGTAAAGATACGCCAGTCCTCGTATCTCAAAAAGGGCATTGTCGCTGAAAGACACCTGAAGACCAAATTCGGCCTTGATGAACTGCACGCTTCCATAGTCAGGTCTGCTGGGAGTGTCTGTTAGGAAAACAGTAAGAGAATTGCAGGGTAAGGATAATCGGTCTTATTTTATAGGCGAACGGTAACCGGCAATAACGAATGATGACGGCCTCGACCAGAATGGTACCATGAACTCAAGTAAGACGTGCACCGCCTGTGTGAGCACCAAAAGGTCTACTAAGCCACACTGGTACCTTCGGTTGCTACCCACACTTGCTCAAAAAGGGACAGCCACAATGTAGGTTTTCGAAAGTGACAGGCCATGTAGTCCGGTCTATCCTCTCTTCGAAACTAAAATCCACCACTAAGAACTATGGATCTATGCCTCCCCCCCTGCCGCCCACCACCTCACATGATGTCTGGGTGGCGCAACAATGCCCTGTTGGTCATTGAATCTTCCTACTCTACTAGGGAAGGGAAAGCGGGGTGAAGCGCTAATGACGTTTAAGTAATGCTGATATGATGTTTACATTAGCTCCTCCGAGCGTGCGCGTGTCCTGAGGGGTGGGCAATGTATTCCCCTTGCCTCAAGTTATACGCAAAATCGTAATTTCTGCTATAATAATTATTACATCACTTTGATTAGTATCCAATTTGTCAGAAAATCTGTTCACAGTACTTCGTGTGCTCGTACATGAAGTAGAAACTGCAGGTAAAGCGAAGTCAGAGCCTTGAACTAACCGCAGCTTACGGTGAAGTCTAATGTTATCGTTGCTTCACACATAAATACGTCCCCATGAGTGTGTGGCGGATTCGCGAAGTGCCCCCAGTCGGCCAGATCGAACCGAGTTGGGGTAGCAGCAGTAGAAAGGGATTGCTTCATTGTTTCTTTATCCGCGTGGGACTCTGGCATTGCCGGTAGTAAAGTCATTCGGAATGTAGATCGCTACTACTTAGCCTTTGGCCCTTTGGTTAGTGAATAAGAGTAAGAGGCAACTCGGCTCACCTATACACGGCCAGCGTCTACTGCAGAAGGTCAGCCGTCCTCAATAACACAGGGTGGTACCCACATGTCCACGACAATGACATTAACTGGGACTCAAAATTGTCAAGTACTTCTCCCTGGAGATTACATTTATCTATCAGATACAGTTTCAATTGTCGCTCATTACTACAAAGACTCTTGCTTGCGTAGCTTCGCAGCCCCAGTTGATTTCATTTAGATAAAGCTAGCAATCAAACCTCGTGGAAGGTCGTGAGGGTGGTATCACATCGACAGTAGAAGCAAAAGAATGAAAAGAAAGAGAAAGAAAAGACAAACATCTGACTAACCAGGAAAGGCTAGATTCTTGACGACCCTGACCATATGCCCAATATCATAGATCTATATCACTTGATCATTTCTAGTTATCATGGGATAAAAGAAGCAAAAGGCTGCCGCAGCATGAGTTTCCTCATCCCTTGGGCTTGGATGTTGTTGGTCCCAGGATCCGGACTAATCGAGACTTATCCGAATATAATCTTGAAATGGCCTCGACGCTCATATAGAGCTTTTAGGAGTTGACCGCCATCATTCTGTTTATAAAGAACGCACTTGGGTTCATCAATGAGGGGACCACTGATTTGATATGCCCAATTATGTTAGCCGTCCATACCTCCCAACGAGCCCCGTTTGTCATGGGAGTGAAGTACATACAATATCTTTGTCAGGCCCAAAAGAAACATAAGTATCAATAAAATGCCAATAAAGACGCTAGTGAAAAATTCCCGATTTTCTTCACTCAGATGGGGGACCAAGAATGATCGACGGCTTGCGTTCATGGTCTGAGATTCCGGCATTCTTGATCTCATGGTCTGATACTTTGGCCTTTCGGATTCCATGGCGTGATTAGCTGGAGGCAGTTTCGAGGGTTTCAAAGTGGAAGGTGGAAAGGAGGAATCAGAAATGGGGAATGGGCTGGCACAAATATATACTCTTGCTTGTACGGCTAATGATGATGCACGTTGACGGAGATTGGTTCCAGCGGCTACTCGTTGCTGACGCGCTATAGTTATTTTAGATCTTGAGCAACGAAACAGTGAATACCGCATAATCGCCATAGCGGACTAGCAGAAGAGGTACAAATAGTCAGACATTTTTCTACAGTGGGACTCGATTCCTATTGTTAGGACAAATCTCTCTCCGTCGGCTCGCTGAACTTACGCGAGATATTGTCCTTAATTTATCCGTTAGCGCATCCATTATTTACAGTATGCCTTTCATTTGACTATCAGTGTAATTCTTTGTCGAAGCACTAACCGCTAGACCAAAAACGATATATCGCGTCTAGTCAGCCAGGCGACGGAGAGATATCTGTCCCAACATTCTTTGATGATACTGTCGCTGAATAAGTTGGAGGGTTGAATAAGTGGTAGGCTGTGATTGAACCTGGATAATGAAATGTTTGAGTTCACGAAGGTGATGTGCAGTACACGTTTGATAGGTATCACAGGGCATCAGTCAAGCAGGCTATCGTTTTACAATGATGTAATCCCTACCACAGAAAATTCACCAAACCATGATAACCGTATTGCATATTAAGGCTCCCTACCCGCCCCAAGTGATTAACATTGTAGATCTTACATCTGGTTAATCATACTCAAGTGCTGCCTTCGGTGACTACAGTAAGGATGACCACAGTGTATCATTTCGTGAGCAGTATCCAAGGCTTGACTTTGTCTGCATGATCCTACTGCTCTAGTCTTTGCACTCGAGTTCTTCCCAGGGTATTGAGGATAATGAAGACATAGCCGCTGTTACCTATACAGCAACAGCAGGTACTTTGATGGCGTCACTCACAAGGCGCCGTAGCGGCGAGTAAAATTTCCGTCAATGCGTATCATCATTGGCTACGGTGACGAGACGATTTTGCTCTAAGAAGAGAGAATCTCAAGTTAGAGATTCTCTCTTCTTACCTAACACCACCCTCACACTCAAAAGCCCTCCAACTCGAGACACTACCGACTAATCATACAATGAAGTACAAAATGCTAGCATATCAGACGCTGAAAGCAAAATTGTCAATTCTCACCTAAGCCGGCCCTCGAATATACCTCAACCTGCTAAGCCCAGCTACTTTACATACCCCCAATGCCGATGTGGATGCGCTGCTGCGAGCAATTAAAGGGATCCTGAACAAGGAGGCTGTATTGTTACCACCTTGAATAACTGGACTTCACTGATAGCGGTCCGTTTGTGCAACATAATGCTTCAGCATCTCGCCTTCAATCACAATCGAACCGAGGCGAAATCCAGGTCCAGCAAGCATTGGCAATCGCCCACAATTACTGTGATATCAACTGCCATGTTTGTCACATCAAGGAGAATATCCGGCATGAACAAAGGCCGACGGGGAGATGGCTACTGAGAGTACATAGCTCAACACTGAACAAATGCCACATATAAGTCCCCATTCAGATAAGATAAGTACATACGACCACAGGGTGTGGAAAACAGGGCTTCCCGTCCGCTCAGCCGTACTTAAGCCACACGCCGGGAGGTTAGTAGTTGGGTGGGTGACCACCAGCGAATCCCTTCTGTTGTATGTATTTCTCTTTTGTTTTTGTTTTTTTCGCATCTTCTCTCATTTGTTTCTTGTAGTGGCTGATGAATGGTTTCATGGTTGTGGTGGCCTTGTGGTGGGTGGACTCCACTTGGATCCGACATATAGTCCTAGAGGAGTAACATCGTACTTACAAGCCAATCTATTCTTATGTCTCGGAAGTGAACACTGCAATTTCCTCACCATTCATACTGAAGGTAACTTTTGATAGCATTAAGTCATGTTCGAGTCCACGTATCCCAAAAATTAAATATCGAAGCTTCATCCATTAGCAGATCAACAAAATCGTCCGCCGAGATATCGTTATAACCAGGTGCATTGAAGGCTCCGGTTTCCGCAGTCCCTGCAACTTCACCAGCCCCTTCCAACCGCGAGGTATCGGTTGGATCATTATTTGCGTCAGTATCATGGAATCCTAGCAAAGCAGTCTCTGTGTTCTCTGGGAAGAGCAGCTGAATGGCCTTTGCGAAGATGGCGCGGTAAATGGACGCAACGGTGTATGTTTTCTGGAGTTCTTCCATGACCATCATGCACATGCTAAGTTTGTTGAAGCGGAGGCGCTTGGACAAAGAATTGCCGATCTTGCAGTTGAGGAGGTTTGTTTGCATTGCTGGGACGAGGAGGGGAGGCCTTTTGACCCACAACAGTCAGTAAAGTGTTTATTCTAAATCAGAGGCGGACAAGATTTACGTACGTCATGGGCCCCGCAAATTCAAGCAGGCCGTCTTGGGCAATAGCTTCGACGACGGTATTTGTGTGAGAAGCTGCTGCGTCGGCCTTCAGTCGCATACGATGCTGCCAGCTTTCTTTTTCACCTGGGTCGAGGTCTTCCGGCAACGTGGTAGTGAATGGGCGATAGAATGTTCCCGCAAGCGCACTGAACAGTTATCGATTAGTCTATCATCATGTACGGTACAGGGGCTCGCGTCTCACTGATAGTGCAACTGAAGGTGGTAGATGCTGAAAATAGCCACACGAGATAAGCTCGGATTGTCTTGTTCTGGAACTGTGCATTGGGCTATCCTATTTTCCATATCCTTGACGTCTTGTAGAGACGGCCTAGGCTTCCTCGCCTGGTAGTGCATGCTAATCACGTCGCCTAGCATAGCGCTGATTTCCAGGTACTTGACCCAATGATTGGCCAATTCTTCCAAATTCTCTGGTAAGTAGGATGTCATTAGTGGAGACAGGCCCGCAACATCGCTCAAAAAGTCGTTGGCAGACGGCATTGGCGTATCGCAGTCGTGGAGGTTGATTCGCAACGGTCTGCCCAGGGTCAGACTCAACCATCGATCGCGCGAAAAGCAAGTCCACCATAATCTTCGCCAGAGGTGTCGCTGGCGATCCGTGATCGAAGAATTGTAAGTGGATAGATCAGGATCTCGATGAAGGCCTAACATTTGGCAAAAGCTGATGGCAATGCCCATCCAGTACCATGGTTGTGTGTGTTCGTCGGCTTCGGAATGCCAGAACGCCATCAGCAACGATGCTTGCAGTAGAATGATCTTGTCCATTTCTCCCCCGTGATTGTACATGCACTTTTCATTGGCCAGTTATCAGCAAGCGGAGTCTAGTGATCCTCATCAGATAAGCACTCACGTTTGCTCGAGAGTACATCACCGCCTTCATTTCTTTGCGCGATCCGTACCCTTCCTGCTCGTATACATCGGGAGCAATAAACTGCAAATTGTTGTCAGTTGAGCTGCAAGCTGAGCTTCCAGGGCGATCCCTACATTCGACGCCACGAAAAAGATGCACCAAAATATCAAGACGTTGTTTTCCGGTAATCGGCCGGTGCGGTGGTGTTCGAGAATTACGTCTGGTTCAAGTATCGGCATGATCGGATGTACGTGATGGAAGTAGGCTCGCAAAAGACTCTCGCATGTTGCTGAGCCCGGCATTGTGAATACACCCTTGCTTTCGAGATACTTCTTATCCTCCTCCGCCAGATGAACAGCTGGGCTCGACGGCACGAGGAAATGTCTCGACAGCGACTGGTCGGCAAAGCATATTTCCAAAGCAGATGTTGGCCCAGTTCCTGCTCCTATATGGGATTAGTGTCGACCAAGCTGGTACTCGCTGTAATTTGAGTCCTTACCGGAGTAGAAAGGCACTCTGCCGGCTCTTTGAGGCTGTCCCAACGCAGCGGCAGCAATCTCAAGTCCATAACGCTCCTCGCTTTCTGCGTCATTGGGCAGTAAAGGTGTGCCCCTTCTGGATACGGGATCGGTCGCGTATTGATGTATCGTCTCTCGGGGATAATCAGGAGCAGGCGACGAGATAACCTGGGGCCGGGTTGCGCGGCTCACACCCGGCAGGACGTTGTTTGAAGGGGTATGAGGTTGCTGAACTCTAGACGTCCGAGTGCGGCGAAGCCTGAAAAAGAACTCTCAGTTAGTCTGGCATATCAATACGATGATAAACTCGCGCCCACCTTTCCTGTCTTTTCGGATCCACGATACATTGTGTGTTATCCTGTGCACACCCGATGCAAGGAATACCCGTAATGTTGAGACTGCATCTCACTTTGCGAAATCTGCAGGTCTCACAGGCAATTGTCGATCGCTGGTGGCGCCTAGGCGTTGATTTCTGTTGGTTGGTGGGCATTCTAGCGTCTGATTGTCGAGGATCTATCTGGTGCCTGCGGTCATCCGAGGAAGTTGTGGCTGTGGCAGGAATCATGATGTATCAGGCAGATACTAACCTCGGAAGATTGCTGAGATTGCACGTGTTCCGATTGGAGGATAGTTTTCGCTGTGGGGCACAACTCGGCATGCCGGAAACGGGCCGGGGACTCGGTAATATCGGCATGTTAAATCATGGCATTTGCTATTTGGACTCCACCTATGGTCCAGCACACTTTTCATCGAGCCGTTCTTGTACTATCGCTAACCACCAAAGTGTCATAGATGTTAAACATCTATCCGCCTTACCTAAAGCCTTTCGGTTACACCTCTTCCCAAGTTACACCCTTCATGGTGCCTCGAAGATGTCTCCTTGGTTGAGGTTGTGATTACTAGTACTGACTTATAATTAACCTGGTAATTGGCCTGTTCATCGTAGAGGGCTATAAGCAAGGAGGCTGTTGGGGTCTTCGTAGCTGACACTTGTATGATTATCTTGATTTAGGACCTACGACAGTATGAATAGATGAATAAATATATATATATAGCCATGTAATGGTATGTGTATGAGGGATGAATATTTACTAATGACTTGAGAAAGGAAAAGATTGATCTTCAATGCAATCGACTGAGTTAATGCGGCCTGAGTCAGATTCCAAAAGGCGACCCCCCACCCCAAAACGTAAAGTCCAGAACAACCATGCAAGGGAAACGGGACATAGTGCTGTCAAATTGCATATATTCTATGTGGGAAATCATCTAACTATATACAAGCACACTCTCGTGGGTACAGCTCGTTCATGGCGGCGAGCTTGGTCCTCTTTGCTCCAATGGCGTTCAGGGCTACAGAAATTCTATGCTGCTGTTGGCATCGACTTTGGCGGCCATCTCACCCGCCGTTCTGCGCGTACATACAGATTGTTGGGCCTGATCAGCTGAAACATGGGGTCATACTCGATAGGCCCGTTGTCCTCCAAGGAGAACTTATAGCGGTAGACCAATTTGGGCAAGAAGACCTTGACCTCTTGGAGTGCAAAGTTGAACCCAATACACATGCGCGGGCCCGTTGCAAAAGGAATATATGCCGCCTTGTGCCTGGACTTTACCTCCTCGGTATCCCAGCGGTCAGGGTTGAATCGAGCAGGGTTGTCCCAAAGATCAGGATGGTTGTGAATATGGTGCAGTGCGGGCACTATAACTGACTCCTTGGGCAGCCTGTACCCTCCAGGTAAGACCAGGTCAACCTTTGCTGTTCGGCCTGGCTGGAAGGATGGATTGTGGCGGCGTTGCGTTTCTTTGATATATTTATCAAGGAACTCCAATTCATCGGTGAAATCAGCCGTAATTTCGGTGTTTTCGTCAAGTCCATGATCTACTAGTTCTTGGAGAAGGCGTTCTTGCATGCCTGGGTACACACAGAGACCGTAAATGAGCCAGGATAGGAGAGAACTGGTCGTAGTGAAACCAGCGCCAGTGGCAACAACTAGTGCCCAGGTTAGACTTGACTTTGGTAGCTTCTCGCCCTTGTTATCAGTCGCACGAACGGCATAGTCTGCTATGGGTCAGCTTTCCCCTATCACTTGGACATGCTACTAAGAATAAAGGATTGTACATACCAACCATGTTATCTGCTTTCAGAGCAGCATCCTGCAAAGGCAAATCCTCGTGGCCTCCCCGCGAAGCCGCCTCCATTGACTGCGCAACCATGTCCTCGATGCTGGTTTTCAAGCTTCGGAGTCGTTTTGGGTCGCCAAATGGCAATCCAGCATACCAATTACCCATAGATGTAACCTTCTTATTGAGAGAAAGCATTTCAGCAATGTTATGGACCATCTCATGAAGTGGAGCATCCAGTGCTTCAAAATGCTGAAAGTCGAGCCCTAGAACGAGCTTTCCAACCGCCTGAGAACCCAGCTTGAGCATATACTGGTACACGTTCCAAGCCTCGCCCTGTTCATCCAGCGCGTCAAAAACCTTGAACGAGTCTTCGACTGTCTTCTGCATCGTTGGGGCGTAGTGTCGGACCGCCTTCGGGCCCAAGGCAGGAGGCAAGAACTTGTGAGTGACTCTCCATTCTTCGGTATCAGTGTCTCCAAGGAAAATGCCAGCAGAGGGGGTCTTAAGCCCCGCCAAGGGGTGCGCTTCATTGATCTTCTTGGTAAAGAAATCCGACTCGGCAAAAACGATTGCTGCTATTCTTGGATCATTGGTCTGGTAGGTCACGCGACCTAAGTTATTTGTTTTCACAATGGGGCCATATCGTTCAAAGAGTCGCTGATGATTTCCGAGATGGTCAGGGTAAACTTCGAAAAAGGTGCCGACGAAAGGTAATTCCCTGGGACAGGGAGGGTCGCGCACGGCGTGTCCGTCGATTGTGAGGGGTACAGGACCAGGTGCTGCCAGCACCTCTGAGAGTTCATTCAAGACAGCTTTGTCCCCTTGGAAGCCAATTCCTACGTATTGGAAGTCAGTAAAAGAACGAACTATTGTGAGGATGACGCTACCGCCACAGTAACCAGGCTGCCCCCACACCAGCCTTCGCTCTTGGCACAGCGCTGTTGCCCACTTTCAGGTAAGATTTGTTCCTTACAAGGTGAGACTTGTTTGTGGTACATGCCGAAATCTCACCTTATTAGAAGCAAAACTTGCCTACTAAAAGCCTGTGGCATGAGCGAAGGCTGGTATGGATTTAGCCTGGCCGCTGTGGCGGTAGCCCTGCGGCAGGGGCTACCAACCACTTGGCTCAACGATTGCAAAGTGTGCGGCAATCAAATGTTTCAAATCATCAACATTTGCGGAAGAATCAAACTGAATTTCTCTTGCAGACGATGGGCTTTCCCCAAGAAGATAGAACGTTTGCGAAGGCATTGTTGATACTGCGGTTGTCCGGCTGATGTTCTACAATCTGAGTCTTGCATAGCATGATGACACTTATATATCTTCGCAACGGCAATGAAGACATCCCGCAGACATCCTGATGCTCGGTCAATTTCTGCTCGACCCACATACAGTCCAAGTCCTCAAACAGTAGTGCAGATGTGCTGTAAAGGTTCGCATATCGCGTGGCATGATTGTTCCTCGGAAGGATCTGTCACCATCCGAGGTTTGGAGCTGATGGGACAGATAAATGGCCAGACCGGCAAGCTCTTCCTCGGAATGGTGAACGCCAACTACATTGGTAGTATCCACACTGACAGTTTATGTTTTGCAACCGTGGGATTAGGTATGTTTCAGAAGTATTCGCATACAAATAGAACCGCAGGTCATCACTCTTAAAGCGCATCCAATTCGCTGTCCAGCGCTAGAAGCATTTACTTCCGCACACGCCCGTCACCAAATTTGTCACAATCTGAACATTGCAATCACCACGATGAAGACATTTTCTTTGGAGGAGGTTGGCTCACACAATAGCAAGACCGATTTGTGGGTTGCCATCCACGGAAAAGGTGAGTGTTCAAAATACCTGAACATTCGTGCTGTCAGCACACTAATGTGCTGAGCTTAGTGTACGATGTCACAAGCTACGTAAAGGATCACCCTGGCGGTGCCGATCTCCTGATTGATGTTGCTGGCCAAGATGCGACGGCGGCGTATGAAGACGTGGGCCATTCAGAGGATGCAAATGAGATTCTGGAATCCTTCCTGATCGGGACATTGAAAGATGCGGTGGAATACAAGGCTCCTACAGCTGTTAGACTTATCCAGCCAACATCGGTGTCATCACCTGAAAAGAAGGATGGTTACGATGCTACTCGTACTGTTGGTCTCACTGTTGGCTCGGTTGCCTCGCTTTATCTTGCGTCCAAAGCTTTCAGACCACAGCTCAGCCTTCATCATCTAGCTGAGCTTCTTCCCAGCCTGCCGGACCTGTCATCGATCAGGTTGTCTTCATCCCCACCTCATGGAGGCTTTGCTACTGGAGCAGCCGCCACAGCCTGTATCTGTGCTGTATTAGGCGGATTGGTCGCTTCTCGCCTTTCGAAGCTCACGGAAATTGAGTCGGGTTTCACGAAATACCCACCTCGAATCAAAAGAAAGACTATACACAGGCCAGACCCTCACCTTGTCCCTGGCTTCCTTCAACCGAAAGAATACAAGAGCTTACCACTCGTCGAAAAGACACTGCTTGCCCCCAACGTCTATCGCTTCGTCTTTCAGCTTCCTCGCAAGGGGGATGTGGTTGGTCTGCCTATCGGGCAACACGTTGCCATCAAAGCAACCGTCAACGGCCAATCCGTATCGCGATCATACACCCCGACGTCGAACAATCTTGACTTGGGTAGACTGGAGTTAGTTATCAAATGTTATCCCGATGGCTTGCTCACAGGCCAGTACCTTGCCAACCTCAATGTCGGTGACAAAGTCCTCTTCCGTGGGCCCAAAGGCGCGATGCGATACAAGAGGAATCTCTGCAAAAAGATCGGCATGATAGCTGGCGGCACGGGGATCACACCTATGTTCCAACTTATTCGGGCAATCTGTGAAGACGACAAGGATACCACCGAGATCTCTCTTGTTTACGCCAACCGTACGGAAGATGATATTCTCCTGCGAAGAGAGCTGGAAGCATTTGCCTCTGCGTATCCAAGATCGTTGAAAATCTGGTACATGTTGGATCACCCTCCGAATGACTGGCAGTATGGCAAGGGCTACGTGACGTCCGATGTGATGCGTGAAAAGCTCCCTGAGCCTGGTCCAGACACTAGGATCATGCTTTGTGGTCCTCCTGGCATGGTCAATGCTGCTAAGAAAGGTTTGGCTGGTCTAGGATTTCAATCCCCAGGTGCCGTGGCGAAAATGACGGATCAAATCTTCTCTTTTTAGAACGCTCTCTTGAGCACTTATCCTGCATTTGTGCCCATTAGACTTATGTATATAAAATTTATTTAGATCATACAATTCATTCGGCTTCCCTCATCCCTGAATTTCGGCCTTTATGAACCCGCTTGTCGGTTCATATATTCACTGATAGAGTCGTCCGGCTTTGATAATTTATTATTAGATCAGAATAATGTTAACCCCGCACAAACAAAGCCACAGCCGACTCTGCTAGAGCGTGAAGCAAGAATGTAAGAGAACAACAACTTACTTCATTCCCACACCCGGAGAAAGTCATTTAGTGAAGCATTGATGACATAGGAGTGCAAAAATCAGACTAGCTTGAACGTTTAGCCTTACCGTAACAAGTAGGAGTGTGCGTATAAATTTTCCTCAAAGGAGCCCACTTACCTTGGTTGAATTTCTCCGAGGTGAAAAGTGTCGGCATGCCGAGCACCTCTGGATTAGATCCGTACCCGCCAATCGGAACGCAGAAACCGGGACGTTTTTCCGAGGTAAACATCCGGTCTAGACCCGCCGCAGCGCTGATGTTGTTGAGCATGGCAATACGAAAGCAAGGCACCATGGGACACTCAGGTGCATCAATTTGAAACAGTAATGTTTAGAAGATCCGAGGGTACTCAAAGCTGCCCTATCAAGGAATACGCTCGGTGGTGCAGAAGCCACGGGTAACTCGGGACATAGTTGATGGATGTAGAACCAGACATTGCCATTCCTGGAGAAGGAGTGGATCTGGTGATGCATCAGATATGTTTTAAAAGATGAAAGTGCCCTTTCCATAGGTTACGACGAGCTCTCTGGATATACAATAGATTCTAACTTTACATTCAGCTTCAATCGAGACACCAAACCAAGAGGACCATACACCAACCGTACCTGCAACAATGACTTCAACCTGGCAACCACCTAAGAACTACCGCGAACGTCCTGTAGCAGTTCTCGGTGGTGGTGTTTTAGGACGTCGTATCGGTATATGATCCTGGCCTCCAGATTGACAAACAATGCATGACACAGCTAACCAACTTTCCAGCCTGCATCTGGGCATCAGCAGGCTACAACGTCCACGTCCGCGACCCGAGCACCCAGCAGTGCGCAGACTGCATCACCTATGTGAATGAGAATGTCGCCTCATATGCAGTACATACAGGAGCGAGCCCCGGCCCCATCACAGCATTTGAGGATTTGGCACAGGCGTTAGAGAATGCGTGGCTCGTCATAGAGTGCGTTCCTGAGGTACTCCAACTCAAGATCGACACCTTCGCAGAGCTAGAGAAACATGCCCCGACAGACTGCATTCTGGCAACCAATTCATCCTCTTATCGCTCCTCAGAAATGCTGGATAAGGTGTCGGAAGCAACGAAGACCCGTATCATGAACATGCACTACTACATGCCTCCACAGGTCATGGTTGTGGAACTGATGACGGATGGATTCACAGAGCCATCAATTCTTCATTTCATGGCTGATCGCTCGAAAGAAGTGGCGACCAAGCCTTACATTGCAAGGAAGGAATCTACTGGGTTCATTTTCAACCGTTTGTGGGCTGCTGTTAAGCGCGAGGCTCTTACCATTCTGGCTGAGGATGTTTCGACACCGAGTGAGATTGACTCACTGTGGACTGAGATGTTTGTGAAGGGAGGGACTCTGCCTTGCAAGATGATGGATGGTATGCCATGCCCTATACCATACTAATTCTGCGATATATGCTGATTGTGTTCTTGCTATAGCCGTTGGACTTGACACCGTTGCTTTCATCGAAAAACACTATATCGCTGAACGAGGTCTCGATTCTGAGAAGACCGTCGACTTTCTCCAAACGAATTATCTTGACCATGGCAAACTGGGGAATAAATCATCCAAAGGGGGACTTTATCCGCCCGCGGAAAAGATCTAACCTGCTGCTGTAATGCTGTTGTGTTCGCGTTTAGGTACTGAAATGTATTTCTATATATACTTGTAGTTGGCCAGCATACGTGCGAAATCGATGACCGGTGGCTCCTTGGCGGCATAGTAGATGCTTAGTAGCGGTAAATTGGAAAAAGCATGAATAATGCACTTTAATGTCTAGAGTTAAAGCATGGCTCATGCACCCGTGACAGTCAAGGGGTACGGCTCCGGCTGCGGGCGTAACGAGACATTCCCGCAGCCAGAAGCTTATCACTGACTCCTGTCCCTTTTTGGATGCCCTCGAAGCTCGATCAATATCAGCGTCTAATGACCTTTTCAAATATGGCGTTATTGTCCAGATTGCTCTAATATATGAGGAAATGGATACTATATTGACGTGGTATAACAGGGCATTGATATGGTCATACGATTCTGCATCACCAACTTAGCCATGATGATGAATCCGACACAGTATTACAACTTCAATCGCGCGGAAAAAATACAAATCTTAGCACATCTACAATGTATTGATGACTAGTAACCTAGGAAGCTAACTAAATATTTGGTAATTGAATACCCCGCAGACCGCCTTACATACGCACATGAATCTCAGCATCCACACACCCCAAAGTATCTCGGAAACGATATTACCTCTCTAACCGACTCCGTCCCTGTCAGATACTGCAAAAGTCGTTCAAAGCCAATCCCGAAGCCCCCGTGCGGCGACGTTCCCCACCGGCGCAAGTCGGCGAACCATTCCACCGACTGAAGTTCCTCTCCAGGATGGAGGTAAGGGTACGGCTTCGCATCCACAGGGGCATTCCGTTCTGGCACAGGACCGGGCTTCTGCCCCCGTAGAAACCGTTTCTTGCGCATAGTATCAATCAAAATATCCAGACGATGTTCCCTTAGGCCCCCGCTGCATATTTCTCCGATCCCTGGTAGGAGGAGATCGAAGGACTCAGTTGTCTGATCAGGAGGGAAGTCTTGTCCGGGCGGTATTTCGCTTATGTCTTTGGCAGATTGGGCAGCCTGGAAGAGCCGAATCTGGGTTGGGAAGTGTGTCAGGAAGACGGGGGAATTGAAATGATCGCAAAGGTACTTTTCCTCTTCTGGGGTGACGTCTTGTACTCTAGCTGCCG